CGAAGACTGGGGCCCATAGGATGCAATCGAGGTTGCCGACCGAGCATCGCCACGCACCGCGGCGGGGGCATCCTATTGGCATGGGCACGGCCCAACAGCGATGAAGGTCTCTGGGCACGGGCCGATCGCGCCACGAAGCAAGCGCTCTACCCACTCCGAGCCCCGCCCCAGACACACATAAGCCATGCGCCCACCAGGAATGCGAAGATCATGCGCAGAAGTCAGCGCGCATACAGGACTCACGCACATCATAAAACCATCGCTACATCCACCCCATGGCCGACATCGGCACGGCCCTTCCGCAGACCCGCAATATCAACGACGCCGCATAACCAGTACGTGGCGCTCCGAATCGTCGGCATATCATTGCGCGCGAAAGGGTGGCCAGTTCGCCCGCGGACGCCGACGAACGCCGCGACCACGACGGCACTCCCGACAGCGCCAGCCACAGTTCGACCGCGCACCCGGCCCATGCCGACGTCGTTCAACCCGACACAGGCGACTTTCTGGCTTGCGGCGCAGGCCACTCTCTCCATTTCCATGGGATCACAAAACGACGAACGGCACAATGTGTTGGATCATCTACATGGTTTTTTGGAATGGAGCCGCGGCACCCGTCGCGCGCCGCAAACGCTGTTAGGCTGTTAGCGTTGAGCCCCCCGTAGCAGTTGTGCGCGGTCTGTCAGGGGGTGGGCGAGGAGCAAGAATCAAATTGTTGTCGCTTCGCGAATCCCCACCAGCCCATCCAGAAACGATGCCCAGAGGAATTGCCTCGATCAGAGAAGTGGGCAGCACACAGAGGAAGCCATTATGAGACATCTTGGGATATCTTGAGCCATCTTGGAGGTCATTTTGGGCTCTCCCAGACGCTCTTGGAGTCATCTTAATCCGTGCCCCCCCCCAAGAGGCCTCCATGTGGCTAAAACCTGTGTAGAATCAATGATTAGGCATTCTCGCCGAGGCCTCTTGGAGCATCTTGGGTGCATCTGGGGGGGCTCTTGGGGCCTCTTGGGGGTCTCTTGGGGGCCTCCGGGGGGCCTCTTGGGGGCCTCTTGGGGCCATTTTGGGGCCATCTTGGGACCTCTTGGGGCTTCCTGGGCGCTTCTTGGGGCCATCTTGGAGGGAGTCGATCAAACAAGAGGGGGGGGTGAATTAGCGCCCCCCCTCGGAAGCCCCTAAAATCGCCTCTTGGACCCCTCTTGGAACGCTCTTGGAGTGCTCTTGGGCGCTCTTGGGGCCGTCTTGGGGCTCTTTTGGGGCTCTCTTGGGGCCCTCTTGGGCCATCTTGGGCCATCTTGGAGCCATCTCCATCGGATGGCCATCGGAAGCCGAGGCGATTTTGGCCCTCTTCCCCTTGGGGAGCTGTTTGGCCACTTGGAGTTATCTTGGGGCCGTCTTTGGGCTTCTTGGAACCATCTTAGGAGCCATCGTGAGCGATCTTGCGCTATCTTGAGCCATCTTGGAGCTCATCTTGGGTTCTCTGAGGCGCTCTTGGAGCCGTCTTGGGCCATCTTGGACGCTCTAACTACCCGCGGCCCCCCCCGTCCAGGTCCAGGGGAGGGGGTAGGGGGAGGGGTAAACCCCTCCCCAAGGGGGAAGAGGGAGGGGTGGAAGAGGATCTGCTCTAGACCACCTACGCCCAGAGGGCTGGTGGGATTTCCACGAGCAACGTCGAGGCATCGTTTCCCGACGGGCTGATGGGGGCGCGCGAAACGCAAAAAGCATGGCCCCCGCGCGCGTGCCAACGGTGTGAGACGAGCCCGGCACGCGCCGCCGGCGCGCGCGCGGGGGGGGGGGATGACGCGCTCGCAACAGAATAGTGAGTCACGAAGACAGCGCATAGTCCGCCCGCGTTTCACACGTCTCGAGACCAGCGTGAACGCGAGAGCCGCGATTCGGAGCGGGCGCTGGTGTCAGAGCTGAAGTCGCAGATCGCTCAACGCAGGTCGGCACGTTTCACGTGAGAATATGGGAAAAAAGGCTTCATGTTTCCTGTATCGCACGATTTGTCCGCGGATTCGTCTTTCTCTCTCTCTCTCTCTCTCCATCTCTCTCTTTCTCTGTGTATATAGGTAATGAGGAGGTGACAGAGGCCCGCCGCCCGCTTCAACGCCAAGCTGGGGCTAGCATAACCACCGAGGGTGGGGATCACAAGCGAAGACCGTCTACCAACCTGCAGCCAAGACGCTGAACAATGTTGACCGCTTGGGGCTTGGGGTTAGGATGGGTTCGGGGTTGCAGGCCGTTGCTTGCAGTTTTGTCGTGGAGCTTGCTCGTGGCTTAGGCCCGCCGTGGCCAGAAAAAGCACACTCGTTCCTTGTCGTGCAGTTCTTCTGGTAGCACGCTGATTGTACGGACACTCGAACAACTCCGACGCCCCGCCCCCTTTACGGGGTGCTACACCCGCGTCGCGGTCCCCGCTCTGCAAAGAGGCACGGTACCGCGCCGACGATGGCCATCTTCAGTTTTGCGCAATGCTCGACGTCACCCAACCCTTGGCAGGTCGGCGTTCGCCGCCGCGGAAGGCAATTGCCTTGGCGAAGCGCAGCCACTCAGTCGGAAATGCCTCGGATTTTGCACCGACCGCACAACTGCGCTACACCAGCCATCCTTGCAGGCACGCGCGACATCCATATTTCTCGACATGTGTATTTTTTGTTCATTTTGCGCCCACTGTCGAGTGGCAACAGCATCACCTCCACACAAGCAGCGTCCGACAGCATGTAGAAGGCGTCACGTCAGCTTGCCACCCAGATCGTACACCTCAGCCCGCAATTCTGGGCAGCAATCGGGCAAACAGGCGTCCAAACGACCGTCGTTCATTCCAATGACATGACGCACGCTTCGCATTCCAATGAGACGACACATGCTTCGATACGACCCACGTGTGCGACGACCGAGCACTATGGCAAGGCAACACCAGCACAGCCTTTTGACATTGACCAATGAATGAACACGGTGCCATTTGTTGTTCCACGACCGGCCTGATACGCTTTCTTCCATATTCTCCCGATGGGCCATTTCAATTTCAGCCTCATTGCCATTTTCTAAGAGGCCTTCTCCCAACCCCTCCCTTCTCCTGGCCCGCCCACTTCCGTTGGCGTTTCCTCCCACCACCCGCCTGCGCCACTCTTGTGAGAAGGGTACAGTGGGGACGCGCATCAAGAAACCAGATGCGCTTCGTCAGGGTACCCTGGGTTTCTTCGCTCCGCGCGCTACGTGGTGACTCCCAGCGGCCGTGGAAGGAGCTGCCGCGCTCAGGGTGCCCCGTGCTTCCCCTCAGGTGCACCTCGCGCGTGCGTTCTGAGGGCCGGGTTTCTTGCGACGGTTTCTTGCGACCGCGCTGCATGGGCGGGCATCTGCACCAGCAGGTGAAAGGGATGGGTTCAGAGGCCACGTCGGCGCTGGCCTCCCCCGCCGCTGGCCGTGAGCGGCCGCGGACCGCATGGCAGCACGCTCGCCGACCTCGCGCCTCGCAGCCAACGACCGCCCTCGCCGCCAGCCACCGTCCAGCCACCACCTCCTGCGCCCGCCGCCTGCGGGAGGTGGGGCCCAACCAGGAGGAGGAGGAGGAGGAGGAGGAGGAGGAGGAGGAGGAGGAGGAGGAGGAGGAGGAGGAGCAGGAGGGGGAGGAGGAGGAGGAGGAGGGGGAGGAGGAGGAGGGGAGGAGGAGGAGGAGGAGGAGGAGGAGGAGGAGGAGGAGGAGGAGGAGGAGGAGGAGGCAGGAGGGGGAGGAGGAGGCGGAGGAGGAGGAGGAGGAGGCGGAGGAGGAGGAGGAGCAGGAGCAGGAGGGGGAGCAGGGGGGAGCGGTGGCATCGGCGGCCACGCTGGGCGCGGGCGGCCCCTGTGGCCTTGGCCGGGGGCGGCCGCGGACCATATGGCAGCACGCCCGCCGCTTTCGCACCTCATCGCTGGCCCCATCGCCCACCCCCCTGTTCGGTGCTGAAAAGACGGGGGTCAATACAGACGGGGGTCAGTCAGAGCGCCGGATCTTGCAGGATCCCGCAGGGCCAGGCGCGCACTGACCTGGGCTTGCGTGCAGGATCCTGCAGGATCTTGCAGGGCCCTGCAAAGCCTGACTGAGCTGGGTCTGGATTGACCCGGGTCGGCAGATCCCCAATCTATGTCTTGCAGAAGCTCCTCCACCTCCGAATACCAGCCAGCCAGCCGTCGCCGCGACGCAGGGTGTTCAGCCTTGCCTTTGCCGCCTGGCTCACCAGAGTGCCCCCCCCCTTTGATCTTAACCTCCCCTGCTCTCGTGGAGCGGGTAGGGGGGGCATATCAGCATGCGGGGAGGGACATGGCCCCTGGCCAATGAAGAATCATGAACGGACAGCCGCTCTCAGGGGTGCGTCGAGTAGCCCCCGAGGCGGCCGCCGCAGCAGCCCTATCGCCCGTTACCGCGTCGCACAGCCCAGCCTCCACAGGGTTGCTTACGATTCGATTCCATGCGATTCGATTCGGTTCGAATCGCCAGCATCGGTTGGGGCCAGCCGCAGCCAGGCGCGGTGATCCGATTTCGATCCGATCCTGGACGATTCGCTTGCCATTCGATATTTTTCCGATACGATTCGATTTTGCGATTTGGTGCAGCTCAGGCCTGTCTGCTGTTCAGCCCCAGCTTTGCCGCCTCGGTCACTGGGGTCGGCCCCTGACAGTGCTCCTCCTCCCTTCAGGTTGCCCTTCTCCACGTGCGAGCCTGTCTGGACCACATGCGTAGCTGAACGCACCACCACCATGCCTCTCTGTTCTCCCCCGTTTTGATATTGTTGCCGCTCCCTTATCGTTATGTGTGCGCACAAGAGGTATTTGTCCTACAGAGCCCAGAACCCCTCCTCTTTGCCCAGTGTCGGAGGTAGCCCGCTGAATGGCATCGATCTTCGGATCAGATTGCCACCAGCTCGAGCTCGAGGTGGAGGGGAGGGGGGGAAGAATGGACGGGAGGAGGAGGGAAGAGGGGGGAGGACTGAGGATGAGGGAGAGGGTGGGAGGGGGACGAGGCCAGCTTGAGGGAGGGCAAGCACTGCATGCTGTCGCCCCTGGCCGACCGAAGCTGCCTGCTCGTGCTGGCTCACCTGCGTCGCTGCTGCGGCCACGAGCCCCGGTCGCACTTCTCTGCAAAGGCCTGGAGGAGAAAAGTACAGTCAAGACGCCGAAAACGTCGGATTCAGGAGGGGCTCTGGTTCTGGGGCTGTTCCTTGGGCCCAGGTCGCGGAATCTGCCCGTGGCCGATGCTCGCCGTGGCCGGGAACGCCCCGTCGTCCCCTCTTCAGAGTTCCGCATGGTTGCGCAATGAGTGTATCGGGGGCGGCAAAGAGGGGGGGGATGACTAGGGGGGGGGTGGATACCATGGCGGGGGCCATGGTATCTCTCCAGATTTCATGGCGCCTCTTCTTATTTCATTGCGTCCCGGCCTCCCCCCCGGGCCGCGCACAAGCCGCTGGCTATGATTTGCGCCCCCCCCCTCTTGGCCGCCCCCGAGTGTATACTGTTTGGAATGTTTGGATCGCGTGTCGATCCGCCGGTTCTGGCACACCGCGCCCGGGCGCGGCTCGTTATCCACGTCGCGGTCCCCAGAGCTCCGAGCTTTCCCGAGCTTCGCCCCACGGAGCGGAGCGACGCGCTATCCGCTTGCACGGCACAGCGAATAGCGTGCCGCCAGGGCCGCCGCGGCGACACGCTAAGCAGAAGTTCTTGACCGTGTTGATGCCAATTCGAAGTCCAGCGCTGGAGGCCAGCGGCGCGCCCGCGGGGGAAGCGAGAGGGGGCGGGCTTTCTCAGAAGTTCTATGGCTTTCTGAGGTTTTGTTGCGTCTTCCCCGAAGACGCGGAAAATTCCTCTGAAGGCGCCAGGCCTTTTGCGAAGTCCCGCCGCCTTGGAAAAGGCCTTCTCCATCTCACTTCCCCCCCCGCGCTCGCGGCCGACTCTGGGGACGGACGGTGAGGAGAAGCGAGAAGCATCAGGCCGACGGCGACATACCCACCAGTCGTTGAAGATAGGCATGTTTGATCCCCATCTCCATTTTTCCCAACCATCCTGTGGTGTTGGGTCCTCGTTTTGAAGAGACGGTGCCCCGCGTTCCCGCCTCCTTCCTCCCTCCCTCCTCCCCCCTCCTCCCCCTCCCACACCCATTCTGGCACACCCCTCACACGTTTCGTGGCCCCATAGGGAGCTCCACCGAAGGCCCCAGTGGCTGCGTCCGCATGCGGTTCCACCCCCCATTCTGGCACACCCCTCACACGTTTCGTGGCCCCATAGGGAGCTCCACCGAAGGCCCCAGTGGCTGCGTCCGCATGCGGTTCCACCCCCCATTCTGGCACACCCCTCACACGTTTCGTGGCCCCATAGGGAGCTCCACCGAAGGCCCCAGTGGCTGCGCCCGCATGCGGTTCCACCCCCCATTGGCACACCCCTCACACGTTTCGTGGCCCCATAGGGAGCTCCACCGAAGGCCCCAGTGGCTGCGCCCGCATGCGGTTCCACCCCCCATTCTGGCACACCCCTCACACGTTTCGTGGCCCCATAGGGAGCTCCACCGAAGGCCCCAGTGGCTGCGTTCGCATGCGGTTCCACCCCCCATTTCGGCACACCCCTCACACGTTTCGTGGCCCCATAGGGAGCTCCACCGAAGGCCCCAGTGGCTGCGTCCGCATGCGGTTCCACCCCCCATTTCGGCACACCCCTCACACGTTTCGTGGCCCCATAGGGAGCTCCACCGAAGGCCCCAGTGGCTGCGTCCGCATGCGGTTCCACCCCCCATTTCGGCACACCCCTCACACGTTTCGTGGCCCCATAGGGGCTCCACCGAAGGCCCCAGTGGCTGCGTTCGCATGCGGTTCCACCCCCCATTTCGGCACACCCCTCACACGTTTCGTGGCCCCACATAAGGGCCCCATCTCCACCCCCCAGTGGCTGCGTTCGCATGCGGTTCCACCCCCCATTTCGGCACACCCCTCACACGTTTCGTGGCCCCAGGGGGAGTTCCACCGAAGGCTCCAGTGGCTGCGTTCGCATGCGGTTCCACCCCCCATGTCGGCACACCCCTCACCTCACACGTTCCGTGGCCCCATAGGGAGCTCCACCGAACGCCGCAGTGGCTGCGCTCGCATGCGGTTCCACCCCCCATTTCGGCACACCCCTCACACGTTTCGTGGCACCAGGGAGAGCTCCAGCGAAGGCCCCAGTGGCTGCGTTCGCATGCGGTTCCACCCCCCATTTCGGCACACCCTTCACACGTTTCGTGGCCCCAGGGGGAGCTCCAGCGAAGGCCCCAGTGGCTGCGTCCGCATGCGGTTCCACCCCCCATTTCGGCACACCCCTCACGCGCTTCGTGGGTGGCTCCATGGGGAGCTCCACCGACGAAGGCCCCAGTGGCTGCGCTCGCATGCGGTTCCACACCTTTTTTCGGCACGCCCTTCACACGTTTCGTGGCCCCATAGGGAGCTCCAGCGAAGGCCCCAGTGGCTGCGTTCGCATGCGGTTCCACCCCCCATTTCGGCACACCCCTCACACGCTTCGCGGCTCCATAGGGAGCTCCACCGAAGGCCCCAGTGGCTGCGCTGGCATGCGGTTCCACACCCCATTCTGGCACACCCTTCGCACGTTTCGTGGCCCCATAGGGGGCTCCACCAAAGGTCCCAGTGGCACTGCCCGCTTGCGTCCGCCACCACCCAGCACAGCCCTTGTTCCCTGCGCTTCACCCACCCAGAACAGCGCTTCGTAGCCCTATAGGGAGCTCCACCAAAGGTCCCAGCGGCACCGCCCGCATGCGTCCGCCACCACCCTGCACAGCCCTTGCTCCCTGCCTGCGTTTCACCCACCCAGTACAGCGTTTCGTGGCCCCATAGGGAGCTCCACCGAAGGTCCCAGTGGCACCGCTCGCATGCGTCCGCCACCACGCAGCACAGCCCTTGCTGACCGCGTCTCACCCACCCAGTACAGCGTTTCGTGGCCCCATAGGGAGCTCCACCGAAGGTCCCAGTGGCACCGCCCGCATGCGTCCGCCACCACCCAGCACAATTGCGGCATTCACAACTGCATATGGTTGGATCCTTCGCCAGGCTAATTTTTGAGCGTGTTCACACTTCAAGAACCGAGCGGCGTTCTCTCTTCCCTCCTCCTCAGCGGGCAGGTGAAACTCCAATCTTCTATCACATCCTTCCTACTTTATGGTTCTACCCAGTTCCTTCTCCTTTCCCGATTCCTAAGTATGATGTTATTGCTGTGAGACGCCTTCTTCTCCACTCCTCCCGCGTCCTCCCCTCCTCCCTTCTCCCTCTCCTCACTTAGATATACTCATACTCAGATACATCCAGACTCAGGTACACTCAGACGCACTTCTTTCACGCAGACTCGCACACGCTCAGAGTCACTCGCAGTGAGGCTCGCGTGCGCTCAAATCCCCTCACACAGACCACTCACACTAAGGCTCACCTCGCACTCAACGTGTGACGATTTCCCTGGCGAGGCGTTGGTTTCAGCACCCAAATGGGAAGGCCGCCAGACGGTTGTCTCACAGGCCCGTTCGCGCTCAGTTTGTGAGGATGTCTCAGGTGGTTTGTCAGTTTTGTGGCTTGGACTTCGCTCGGTGCTTTCAGTGCAGGTTGTGAGTTTGTCCTGGGCGAGCGTGCTGGTTTCAGCACCCCAAGGGGGGGGGGGGAGCCATGTTTTGCCCCACGGGCCCGTTTGCGCCCGGATTGTTGAGATGTCTCAGACGGTTTGCTTGCTTGTTGGCTTGGCGTTCGATATTTTCAGAACAGATTGTGAGGATGTCTCTGGCGGGGCGTTGGCTTCAGCACCCCAAGCGGGAACCACCAGGGGGATGTCTCACAGGCCCGCTCGCGGCCAGATTGTGGGGATTTCTCGGGCGTTGTTTGATGCTTGGAGTTCGGTGCTTCAAGAGCAGACTGTGGGATGTTTCGAGCGCGGCGCTGATTTCAGCACCGCACGCGGGAGCCACCAGAAGGTGTTGCATACTGTATATCAGGCGGTTTGACTGTTTGGGTCCTCGGAGTGTTGTGTTTTTCCGCGCAGGCTGTGAGGATGTCGCGGGTGCAACGTTGGCTTCAGCATCCCACGCGGGAGCCGCCAGGGGGTATTGCACGGGTCCGTTGGCACCCAGACTGTGGGGAGGTCTTGAGCGGTTTGCCTGTTATGTGGCTTGGACGTTTCGGTTTTGCATACGAGATCGTGAGGACGCCTCGGGCGACTGCTTCAGAACCCCAGGGGGAGGGAGCGCCAGCGGGTGTTGCACGGGCCCTTTCGCGGCCAGACTCTGGGGAGGTTTCCAGCAAGACGTTGGTTTCGGTGCTGGGAGTTTTGTGCTTCCATGGCAGACCGTGAGATAAATTATCCCGGCAAATCAACCTAACAGCGATGTGTAGAAGCATAGCTGGAAACATTGCCTGTGGCATTCATGTAAGAGTGCTGTTGTAGAATTCTGGTGTTCTCGCAGTCGCATTCGGATTCGCAGTGGCAGTCGCAGTGGCAACATCAGCGGCAGTCGCAGTGGCACTGCCAGTAGTTGCAGTAGCAATAACTACACTAGCAGCAGCAACAGCAGCAGCAACAGCTACCGAGAACTATCAGCATGTCCTGGCATTAAGGTGTGCAGTAGGCGCTGCGCAGTTCCTTTGAAAGGAAATCTTCGAAAGCAGGGCTGTAGCCAAGAAGGCTACGGGGACCATGATGATGATGAAGATGATGAATCTTGGAAGTCTGGGAAGTGGAAGAGCACGAAGTGGCGTACAATTGGCTCCGGGCGTTTAAAATGTGGCCCGGGAGTGTTGTTCTAAGAATTGGAAGAGCACGAAGTGGCCTACAGTTGGCGCCGGGCATCCAAAATGTGGCCCGGGAATTGTTTTCTGGGAAGTCCAAGAGCACGAAGTGGCTTACAGTTGGCTCCGGGCATCCAAAATGTGGCCCAGGAATGGAGTTCTGGGAAGTCCAAGAGCACGAAGTGGCCTACAGTTGGCTCCGGGCATCCAAAATGTGGCCCGGGAATGGAGTTCTGGGAAGTCGAAGAGCACGAAGTGGCTTACAGTTGGTTCCGGCCATTCAAAATGTGGCCCGGGAATGGAGTTCTGGGAAGTCCAAGAGCACGAAGTGGCCTACAGTTGGTTCCGGGCATTCAGAATGTGGCCCGGGAGCTTAGTTCTGGGAGGTCGAAGAGCACGAAGTGTGTGACCGTTTGCGAAAAACGAATTCGGACACGAGTTCGGACACAGCTCCCCGGATGCCGCCCAGACCCCCCTGTGGAGTCATTTGCTGTTTTCTTTTGACACCATTAACCGAAGCAATCAGTAAACCCCTCTCCCCCCCCCCCCCCTCATCAGAGGAAATTATAACGCTTCCGGCACCGGGGCCGGGGCGGAAGCGATATCCCCCGCAGGTCGCCAGAGGTCCGCGGAGGGGAGGTCCCCAGAGGTTCCCAGGAGGCACCCAGAAAGGCCTCCACAAGCCTCTGAATGCCCGGTCCCCTTGTAGTCCAGAGCCCAGCGACAAGGCACACCTGCCCAGAGCCGCTTCCTGTGATTATGTGCGTTTCTGTGAGATTCGTCGGAGATTCCTCTGATACTCCGATTGGCTTCTTTTGAGATTCCTTGCCGTTTCCATTGTGATTATGATGGGACTCCTTTGAGACTCCTCTTGTGTTCCTTTGATGTTATTATGGGGGTCCCTTGAGGCTCTGGTCATATCCGTTTGATACCCCATTGTTTAAGAGAGCATCACATCGACATCTGGGGCGGTGGATTATTTTATTTTCAGTGCATGTGCCAACATATCGCGGGGGGGTTAGCGGAATCCGTCTGCGATATCCCTCCGTGGACTCTCCCATAGGATCCCCTGAAAGAATCAATTTCCTTAGTGCGGTCGCAATAGGGATTGCTTATGTCCACGCGAGTCCGCGTTTTCCAAATTCCTTAGATTCCTTTGTGGTTCGTTTGAGCTGCCGCTGAGATGCCTTTGCGATTTCTGTTGGGTTCCTTTGAGATTGCTTTGAACTTCCATTGGTTCCTTCGATATCGTGCGTGGGATTTCTTATGATATTCTTATGGGATTCCTTTGGGGGTTCTTTCGAGTTCCTCTGACATTCCTTCGACAATCCCTGAAAGGAGCATCCCATCGACCTCCGGCGCCTGTGGATTATTTTATTTTCAATAAATGTGCTAACATATCGCGGGGGGGTTCGCGGAATCCGTCTGCGATATCCCTCCGTGGACTCTCCCATAGGACCCCGTGAAAAAAAAATAAATCCTTTTTGCGGCCGCAATAGGGTTTGCTTATGTCCACGCGAGCCCGCGTTTTCCAGATTCCTTAGATTCCTTCGTGGTTCGTTTGAGCTGCCGCTGAGATCCCTTTGCGATTTCTGTGGGGTTCCTTTTTGAGATTATTTTGAATTTCCAATAGGGGTCCTTTGAGATTCTGCGTGGGCTTCCTTCTGAGATTTCTCTGGGATTCCTTTGGGTGGTCCTTTCAAGTATAGTTGCTTGCGGTGATTTCATTGTTTGTCATTTATGATTTACCTTTGATTTCCGATGCGCGTCAGTTTCCCAGTGTTCTAGCAAGGCGGGAACCCATTGGCAAGCGTTCGCGCGCGTTGGTTCTTCAGGCTGTCGCCTCGCGTTGCCGCCAGCTTCGGGCCCGGGGGGGCAAATTAATTAATTTATTATTTTATTTCATTTCTTATGTGCTAACGATATCGCTGGAGGGCGCCGCCCAAAATAATTATTTATTTTACTTTCTGTGCTAGCGATATCGCCGGCGGGTTTACTGTTTGCTTGCCAGGGTTAGAAACCTATCAGTCTTCGCTGTTAGGTAAAAAGCAAGTGCTCTCAGACAACACGTTTTTTGTTATCACATTTGTTTTTCATCGCAATTGTTGTTTTTTATCATACGTGTTTTTTATCACATGTGTTTCGAGTGAGTCAGATGAAACGCTGGTCTGGGCACCCCAGACTCCTGTCCTTTCAGAGCCCCAAGAGCATCTCGATGCAGCAGGCGTAGCGCTCGGGCACTCCAAAGGGGAGCCGCATGGGATCGTCCAGTCGCCGCAGGGCACGATTTTCTAACTCGGACACTCCCCGACGAAAGCGCCCGGAGCTGCGATGCACATATGGGGATTTCTGCGTCGTGTATTTCTGATTCGACGTTTGTGGTTTGAGCAGGTGTTTTGGGCCTACGTGGGCGCCCTCGCGGCCACTTCATTGACATTGTAGACAGAGGGCACCCGCGGACAGGTCCCAGGGCCGCACCAACCACTTCGACGGCGGCAATGACATCTTTGGTTTGGAGTTGGTGTTTCGCGTTTTTCGGAGGCCCTCGTTGGAACGGGCGAACGCTGCTCGAGCAAAATGGCAAGATGGACTCCCCGGAGGGTTCTGGAGGTCGAAATCGAACGGTTTCTGAAGCGTGGGCAAGCATACCGAGACCGATGCGCCTCCCTCGTTTCCATCCTGGGGAGCCCCCGTCAAACGACAGGATCCGCCTCGGAGGCTTTGCCAGAATGCCCCCCAGGACATGTCCGTGGAGTAGCGCTATCAGCCTTTACTGCTTCCCCACAGGCGTTTTTTTGGGCTGCTATATCCCAGGTGTGCGTGCACGATGGAGCCGTCCTGTCGTTCATGATGGATAAGGAGGCGGCGGCGTCCTACTCCGAAGCTGGTTGGTTGGATGATTTCGGCAGTTTCAAGACACAGGCGGCTCAGTGGTTTGATTATGCTATGGCTGATTCAGGGTTCAGCAGTAGTATGACAAGTGGTCTGTCGCGGCCAGTGTTGCACCTGCTGGGGAAGATCCTACCAGAGAATGAGATGAGGACGCACCGGGTGTTGGTCCATAATTTCATTCAGAATTTTGATTTTTTCGCCTGCGCAAGCGAACTTAGATGTGCGGGTTCCCATGAAAAGCGCAAGCGGGTATTGATACGTTATTTGGGAAACGTAGAGTTGCGCATCATATCAATATCCAGTTGCCTTTGGCATAGTATGCCACCGTGACAGTGCATGTTTCATTTGCTTGCCGTGATGTTATTCAGTTTTCTCCTGGACAGGCTCTCTAGAAACAGTCCGTGGCCGTTTGGGAAGCATCGCTACGATGTTGTATCTTGACGCGGCCTCGACGTTGCTTGGCCGTCGCGATGTCCCTTTGGGGGACGGCGGATTCTTACGGGGCCTGGAGCACTCCCAGGTCATGAGCTGGCAACTAGCACCCATGCCTATGCGACGCCTAGGTTTTTCGGGTTGGGATTCCATGGGGGCTGTGGGCGTGTGTTGTCGGATGGCCTCCCAACTCAAACGGGACTCCCCTGCGGGGTCCGACAACCCGCGCCCATACCTACAGCGCTTCCATTTCCGTGCCCTTCCCAATGTCTCCTCCCCGTAGGTTTGAGTGCGTGCGCGTTCCTTTCATCATCAGGCGCCGCCTTAGAGGTCTCTGAAGGGCTTCGTGGGCGCGATGGGTCCGCCGAGCCCACGGGAAGGGCCCCCAGCGGAACCACATCGGGGCCGCTTGGTGGGGCAGCTGATCCGGGCCGTCATGTGGGGCGTTCCAGAAGGGGCCTCGCTTTCGAGGACCGAGGAGTTGTCATCTCATCCTCGGCGGAAGGCGGCGGAAGGTGGGAAGATGGGGGGGGGACCCGCGGAAGTAAGGAGAGGCCGCTTCCGCCTGCAGAGACCGGCGGGAGATCGGTTCCCCAGTAGTTTGCAAGGTTTTTTTGGCTCAGGAGTCCCGACCCCACCACGCAGCCCGCTTGTGGCAGCATCGGACCGTCTCGGATGTTTTTGGATCCTTCGGGGGCGCCTCGGGTTGTCGGAAAATTTCCAGTCCCTATTGTGCACAGGCTCTGATTCTTCAAAACAAGGATGGGTTCTGCGCGATGCCATGGAGGGGTTATCTTCGATTGCGGGATTTACCACGCTACATGCTCTATTGTAAAAGCTCCACGGCATGCAAAAATACATTATAGCCCTGGTTCCCCGTGCTGTGACATATGCGGTTCACTACGACAAATCATGACATGCGATACCAGCAATGCCATATTCAATGCCCTGACGTACATTACTATGCTATGTGATGATGTGCTTTGGTACGCTGTGCTATGCAATGCTGTGTAGTGGTACGCAATGATGAGATATGATTGAGTGTGCGGCGCATGATCTACCGTTGTCTGCAACTCCGCGAAACGATACACACATGTATATATGTACATGTACGCACACACACGACATTGAATTGATTTGCAGGCGCGACACTGGATTGAACATTGAAAAGAAGAACAGATTGAACATCGAGCTAGTCGGATTGAAACGTTGAACATGGAACAGCCGGACACTGAAATTATCACTTCCGTACGTTCGGATCGAAAACTGAACAGTTTGAAACCATCAATATTGGGATCACGGCTTGAACGCTGACCAACATGATCGAGATGTGTGCGATTGAACGAACACGAAACCAGGTTTTCAAACCGGAGATGTTCGAACGAACAATCACATGATCAATCCCAGTTCTTTCGGTTTTCATTTCTTACTCTTTCCTCGTTCTCCTCGTCAGCCTTCCGTGTTTGTTTTCCTCTCTCCCGCGGCTTTGGCGGTCGCATCGGCCAAGTGAACTCTGCCAGGCGGGGCGGGTCGGACGGGCGAGCTGGGTCGGCTGGGCGGACACTAGAGTGTGCAAGTCTCTCTCGAGTGTGTTCGTGCGAGGCGGAGCCAACGGCCAGAGTGGGTCGGCGGCGAGACATTCGTCGAAGTATAGGGCTCCCTCAAGAGTGGTCGGACGGGGCAAGGCCAAATGGCGGGGAAGATCGGGCGGGAGGGCGTTTCCCATCGAGAGTGGTCGGGCGACGCGGGCTACCGGGCGAGACTTAAAAGTACAATGTAAGGCTGGATCGTTTGCGTGTGTGCGAGGCAGTGACAACAAGCGCAGTGGATTGGTGGGCGGGACAGCGTGTGTTTGGGCGGGGCAGTGCCAACGGGCGGGGCGGGTCGGGCTGGCGGGATACGAAACTGCCAAGTATCAGAGTGATGGGGCCGAACGGTCATTCACTCTCCCTGGGTGCGTGGCTGAAGTGGGATTCCGCGATGCGGATTCTCGTTGTTGTTGCTGCTGTTGCTGTTGTTGATTGTTGTTGTAATTTGGTGTCGTCCTCCCCCGCGACACGGCCCGCGACACCCCAGCGACCCACCCCGCGACCCGCCCGCGACCTGGCCCACGACCCGGCCCGCGACCCGCCCGCGACCCCACCGCGACCCCGCCCGCGACCCACCCCGCGACCCACCAAGAACGCTTTCGCGAAACATCGGCGCCTGCGGTGGGCTCGGTGTACTGTGGGGGCGTTTGTTAAGGAATGTGCTCAGGGGCCTTCGGACCCTGGAGGATTCCTCATCTGATGAGGGCGGCGGTGATATCCATGGCCAACCCAGGATCGAAGTTCCACTGGCTTCGAGACCCTGGATGGATTCCTTATCCACTGCTTCCTCATCCAATGCCCCCACCCTAGCCGTTTCGGCGCGAGCTGGTCTACCTGAGCTGGCGACAGCTCGCGTTTGTGCCCACTTACTTCGAAGCGGCGTAGTGGGCACGAACCAAGTTTCACGACGACGGCTCCCCCCGCGGCAGCCCGCGGGCCATGGCGCCGTCACAAGCGGACCCTGGCATCATCCCAGGCGCGCGGCGGACACCTCTCTGGTCTTGCTCCTGCGGCTGTGATGGCAACTGGGCGTCCAGGACGCGCTGCCGCCAGTGCTGGAAGGCGGCTCCCACCAGTGTGGTGCAGGCAGCCAAGCGCTCGGCAGCAGCAACCGAAGGGCCAGCACCCAGCACGTCTCGCCCGCGCGGGGCCTGGGCGCAGGGCCCGCCAGGACAGGGACAGCTACTGGAGCAGCTGCAGAAGTTGCAGAAGCAGGTGGCAGAGCTCAAGGGCGAGGCCCCGCCGCCGACGAAGCCCTGGAAGGAGCGCAAGCCCCCGCCCAGGAAGGCTGCCGAGGCGAGTGCTGGCATCTCCTACAAGGACGTGGTCACCTTCTTGGCGAAGGAGGGGCTCGACACCAGCGCGGTGGAGGCGGCAGAGAAGGCTGCGGAATCGAAGACGCTCGAGAGCAAGCAGCCTACTGCTCAGACGCAGCGCTGGCGGGTCAAGGGCATGCGCGACAAAATCAAGAAGCTCGAGACCCGCGAGGCCGCCATCTTGGAGCAGCAGGCCGCACTCGACAAGGAGCTCCAGGAGCTCAGGGTCTCGACCGACGACGAGAACCAGAAGCTCACCGAGGGGGAGGCCAAGTTGGTCAAGCTGCAGGCCAGCGAGTTCCCCGACCCGATCCTGGCAGTCGCAGCTGGACTGGACGAGGACGTCGCCGCCAGCCAGGAGGCCAAGGACGCCCTCGCGGTCCTGGCCCGCTTGCAGACCGCAGCCAGCGACAGCAAGAAGGCAGCGGCCGCTGCCAGGGACGCTGCTGCTCCTCCTGGTCCTGCTGCTGGGGCGGCAGACGCAGGCGGTGAGCACAAACCAGTGCCAGAATCAGACGACATCGACATGGAGCTGCTGGGAGGAGAAGGCTGGGAGGCGAAGCACGAGGAGTACGCCGCAGCCTCAGCAGCCCTCCGAGAAGCGGCCCCCGAGCAGCGAGAGGAGGCCAAGCGCAAGCTGCGCGACGCCTTGGACGCGCTCTGGGCTGCAGGCAAGCGGCCGCGGCGCCTTTGACCCCAGGCCCAACGTGAGCCTGGAGGGGCAGCGCGGCCAAGGGACTGGCAGTCCGCAGTCTAGCCGAGGGCCCATATGTAATCGTGGGTTGCTCTTTCAGGATGGCGTGGCGACAGACTCGGGCGTGAGCCCCCCCTTGGACCTCGTCTGCGCGGCGACGCGCCGCCCCCAGCCCCGGGCTGAGACGGCAGGCGCGGCGGCGCCCGCCGCGGCCGCCGTGCTCCAGCTGGCCAAGCTGGTGCGGTCTTCGGCGCAGCAGGGCGCCAGCTTCCTCAGCATCGACGGCTCCACGTGGGCGGAGTCCCAGACGGCCCTCGAGCAGCTGCTGGACGCGAAGGTCAGGGACGACGTGTACCTCATCCAGGAGACCCGCTTCACCTCGGCGATGGCTGAAGGCTCGGCCCGAGCCTGGTGCAAGCGGAACGGCATCAACGCGGCCTTCGGAGAGTGCCGCAGCACAGGGACGGCAGCCCAAGCCGTCTCTTCGGGGGTCGCCGTGCTGGTCGGAGAGCACCGCGGAGTGGCCTTGATCGACCAGGTCTGGGGCCAGCACGCCTCCAGGATCGTGGCGAGGCGAGTCGCCTCCGGGGACCTGGTCGTGGTGTGCGTCAGCCTGTACCTGCAGTGCTCGGTCAAGCTCAATGAGGCCAACGTGGACCTCTTGAGCGAGCTGCAGGGTTTCCTCCTTGGTTTGCGGGAGCCCTTCGTTGCGGGGGCGGACTGGAACCTGGAGCCCAGCCTCCTCAGCAGCTCGTGGTGGCCACGCGCGGTGGGGGCGGTGATAGTGGCGCCCGACGAGCCGACCTGCGGCGATAGCACGTACGACTTCTTCGTGATCTCGGACGTCCTGGCGGGGCTTGGGCCGAAGGTGGCGGTGCTCAGGCAGACGACTACGCATCCGCGCGTCCCCGTCAGGCTCACCTTCGAGAAGCTAAGCAGCCAGGCAGGTGTCTGGGTGCAGAAGGGCCCCAAGCCGTTCGAGCTGCCTGCGGCTAAGCAGGAGGGGGTCCAGCCAGAGCCAGAGGCGGAGGACTCGCTGACGGACTGGAAGGCGCCGCTCCTGGACGAGAGCGGGGGCCCAAACGAGGCGATCATGGAGTTCTTCGACCAGGCTGAGGAGCGCCTGATACACCTCTTCGGCACCAAGGACGGCGCCAAGTACAGAGGCAGGGCGCAGGGGCTCAAGAGGGCCCCCAAGCAGCTCATTCACTTCCTGCGCTCGGAGGAGGTGCGCAGGACCAGCCCGCTAACGCGCTGCTGGATTACCTTGGGGCGCCTGGCCACTCAGCTGGCGGCCGCGGCGGCTGTGCCCCACCCCTCGCCTAGGCGCCACAAGCACGTCAAGCGCTTGCAGGCGGCCGCCCTAGACTTGGCCCCCAAGTTCGAGGCAGAGGGCTGCGAGATGTTCGGCGGCACCAAGATGGCGGCAATGCTGGCGGAGATCTCGGACAGTTCGCAGCAGGGCAGCATCTTCCTCCAGGCCATCGGCGCCGCCACGGAGGTCAAGCGCAGGGGGGGGGGGGCGTGAAGCTCGCCAGGCAGCGCTGGAAGGACTTCGTGGCCGAGGCCCTCAGCGGGGGCGGCAAGGGCGCCCACGCGATCAGCAAGCTGGCCAACCTCGAGACCTGCTCCATCCTCGGCCCTGGCGAGGGGGAGGCCCCTCCAGTCCCGCTGGTCGGGCAGCAGGCCCTGGACAGGATCCTTCAGGAGTGGAAGGCGCTCTGGCTCAAGGAGGGCTCCGTCAGCGCCCGCCCCGAGAACTGGGACGAGCCCTTGGGACTGGGCGCCATCACGGCGGAGGACGTGTTGGCAGCGGCGAAGACCTTTCCCAGGAAGACGGCGCTGGGATGGGACGCCGTCCACCCCAGGCTCATCCTCAGCTTAGGCAGGGAGTGCGCGGCCAGGCTGGTAGAGATCTTGACAGCCTTGGAACGGCACCCCAAGCCGTCGGAGCTGTTCACCACGATCATCGTCTTCTTGGGGAAGCCCGACGGGGGCCGCCGCCCGATCGGGCTCCTCTGCATGTGGCTGCGCATCTGGAGCCGCATCAGGCGCAAGTACTGCGCGGGCTGGGAGCGGGACCACAAGCTCCCCGAGTACTGGGGGGCAGACTCGGACACCAGCTGTGACAGGGCGGCCTGCATCCACAACCCCCTGCTCGGCCTGGCGCGCGAGAAGAACTTCGAGGCTG